CCCCCCCAAAAACAAACAAAACAAAACAAAAACCCCAAAACAACAAAACCAAACCAACCCTTCGGGATGCTGGGCTCACCTCGCTCCGTGGAGGCAGCAGATTCCACCCAGAAGAATTTTCAAGTTGGGATGTCTTCTTCTCGCCCGGTTTCCTCAGCTCCGCGTTCCTATAACGCAACTCTCTGACAGTTAGAAATAAAAACTACCGCTTTTCCGTCATCGCCGATTCCTCCAGGGAAAGTCCCAGAGGTTTTTTTTAGCCATTTTGTCTTCTTTTTTAGGGATACCATGGCACAAAGCATCCAGAAGCAGGCTCTGATGCTGAGAGTGAGTTTTGGGGCGACTCACGGGAGATTTAGGGCTGTTTCAGGAGCACCAGGTGAAGCTAATAACACAGGTGCTCAACATTTCTAACTATTCTCCCAGTTTCGCATTCCTCCCTTAATGCAGAAATCCCGGGGGGTAATTTGCCCCAGGTGACAGTTTTTGAAAGGGTCGGGGTCTCAAGAACATCGCTCAGAACCGAAACAAGGGCAGCAACACATGGGCTGGGTGTCACCTGTCCCCCAGCTCCGTGCAAGGGTCCCCAACACTGCAAGCAAGGGCAATGGAAAATGAACCGCACCATTCGTTAGTGATATGCTCAGTGGTAACTAATGATCCTCGTTACTTCTCTCTTAGGAGCAGAAAAGAACCATGTCAGGGCTCCTTGAGGTGGTCCATGCGCTGCGAGGGACACGGCTGGTACATCGGAGTCATCCCCACACTCCCAAAATCCTCCTCAGCAGGGTTTAATCTCTCCTGCCTCTCCCCCCTTAGCTGACTGATTGCTCGAAATTACCATATAGATGGAGAAACCCAGGCCAGGGATTTCACAAGAGCTTCTACAGGGCTCCTCCAAGCAGCTGGAGACCCTCACCCAGTCCTCATCCCTGCCCGGAGCCACTTTCCTTGGAGACCCCCAGCCAGCCCTCACCCCTGCCTGGAGCCGCTTTCCTTGGAGACCCCCAGCCAGCCCTCACCCCTGCCCGGAGCTGCTTTCCTTGGAGACCCTCACCCAGCCCTCATCCCTGCCTGGAGCCGCTTTCCTCGGAGACCCTCACCCAGTCCTCATCCCTGGCCGTGGCAGGGGGTTGGAACTAGATGATCTCTAAGGTCCCTTCCAACCCAAACCATTCTGTGATAAATGAAGTTGAGTCTTATCAGCGCTTCCCCACAAAAATCCAAGCATCGACCTTGGAGATACGGCGAGCTCTGCTCCCCTCCCACACTGATTACGCTGTAACTTGACTATAATTGGGCTCTATTTAATAATTACCGCTGCTCTGTAATTATCACTTTCTGATTTTTCTCTTATGTTAACGTTCGCCGGGGAGGAGGAGAGGCTTTTCTGCTGCGCCAGGGAGCTAAAGATGTCTCAGATGGAAGTCGATGTGGATGTGCGGCTGGCTGCGGCAGTGTTTAACCAGGCACCGATCAAAACACTTTCCTAAATTCAACCGAGTCGTGGGGAAATGCTGGGGGCTGTTCACTCGCTGTTTCTCCCCCCAGCTAACCAGACACAAGCTCCATACACCCGGGAGAGGCTAATTAAAGAGGGGAGCAAAGCCTGCTTCTTAGGAACCATTATTATTGAAATGAGACAGAAAAGGAGGCAGCTGGAAGGATCCTTAATGAAATGGGGGAGGAAGGGAATTAGAAGAAGAACAAAGTAAAAGGGGGAAGAAACAGGCTAGGAAAAGGAGGAGGACCTGACTGATGGGAGAGGTGGTGGAGGTGCAGAAACCAAAACAGCAACGTTCTGTCTTTAACATCCGATTTTCTCCTGTACCCTGAGTCTGAGCGACTCGGACACCCTCATTCCCAAAGGGAGTGCGAACGGTTCAACATCCTGGGGCTGAAACACAGTTTATGCCCATCCTAGACTGCCCTCAGCTGTGCATGGCCCAGCTTAGAGAGACCGGCTCTTGCTCCAGGCACCGGAGCAGACCTTTAGGATGGACCTTTAGCACGCTGAACCCTTCCCTAACAGGCAAGTGCAACACGCTCCAGACAAGCTGTGACCCAGCACAGCCTCAGGGCTCCCGGAAAGGTGGCTGCATCCTTGTCCAGACTTGCAGGAGAATTTGCCTGAGCAACAGAGAGACAGTCAGAGGTGAGCCTAAGAGTTATCCGGGCAAAGCCATCACCTCCCTCCTGCACAGCCCACCAGAAACTTGGGTTTCCCTGGCTAAAGGCTGCTCCGCCGCACAGCACCTTCCCCCCAAGCACAAGGCAGCGTTATCTAGTTCTGGTTATCACCAAGTGTCACAACTTCGCTTGTGCCCATTCAGCAGCCTTGGGCTGATGGCTTTTTGGGCAAAACCAGCTTCTCCCCACAAGCACAGCTGTGCTTTTACTGCACAGACCACGGAGGAGAGGCTGAGCAGACCACACAAGTCTTTGCTTTCTCAGCTGAGGTCACAAGGAAGGCATTTTCATCTCTTGCAGAAAGCATTTTTCCATGTGTCAGCTAGACAGAGCAGCGACACAGATCCCTGCTGCCCACCTGGGCTGGATCTGACACCGTCAGTTACAAAAACACGTATTCGAACCCTTTGAGCCATCTGGAAAAATCGCTCTGCCTCTTCCACACTTATTAATGCAAACTCCTGCCCAGAGAATACAATATCCACGTTATCCTCAAACTCTTCAGAAAACAGGCAACTGCAATAGTGTCCCTGCTTCCATCTCCATCCAAGCCCATCCCACCACCCTTCTCCCAACCCCATCTCAATCAGATTTATTGCTGGGGAAAGGTGTGATCTTCTCCAGCGAGACAGCCATTTCATGCTCCACGTGCACCACCGCAGGCAAGCCATCCGCAGGGCAGGTGTTGCGAGAGGGCTCGGAGACTTCAGAAACCTTGTCAGAGGACACCTCATTGTTTTCCATCTGCAGAGCAGCACGGGGAAGAAGCTGGGGGTAGCTGAGGGTCACCACTTCCTTCTGGAACGTGGTGTCGTGGTGGTAGGAGACCAGCTCATTGCTGAGGTTCACGGTCTTCACCACATTGCTGGGGCAACGGCAGCCGCAGCCCAAGATGGTTGTAAAAGCTCTTTGGAAGTCTGCGTTGAAGGTGTAGATGATAGGATTGAGGGAAGAGTTGGCCCACCTGAACCAGACAAAGTTGTTGAAGACTGAAGACAGTCTTGCTGACACAAGGAAGCTCCTCTGGCTCCTGTACGTCGAGATCACAAAAGGGCACCAGGCAGTTGAGCACAAAGAAGGGCAGCCAGCAGAAGACAAAGACACCCATGATGATGGAGAGGGTCTTGAGGACCTTGGTCTCCTTCTTGAAGGAGTTCTTCAGGGAGGCCTCAAGAGGACAGTCGCTGCTGTGGCAGTTTTGGGCATGTTCCACCGCCCTCTCCAGGGAGGAGATCCTGCGGATCTGCCGCTGGGCGATGCGGAAGATGCGGGTGTAGGTCACAATCATGATGGCAACAGGGATGTAGAAGCTAATGAGAGACGATGAGATGGTGTAAGTCCTGTTGAGGCTGGAATCGCAGTTCTCCTCCTCCCCGGTGACGTTCAAACCTGGCTCCTGTTCATGATCCTTGTGCCACTTCAGCTGCACAGGGATGAAGGAAATCAAGAGGGACAGTAGCCAAGCCACTCTGATCATGATGAAAGCCACGTGCTGGGTCATCTTCCTCTCATAGCAGAAGGGGTTGGAAATAGCCCAGTAACGGTCCACGCTGATGATGCACAAATTGAGGATAGAAGCTGTGGAGCACATGATATCAAAAGCCACCCAAACATCACAGAAAGTCCCAAAGGACCAGTAGCCCACCATCTCCATGGCAGCCTTCCAAGGCATCAGCAGGACAGCCACCAAGAGGTCGGACACTGCCAAGGAGATAACAAAGAAATTGGTGACCTTAGAGCGCAAGTGTCGGAACTTGACCACAGCCATGCACACCAGAGTGTTGCCCAGGAGTGTGGAGAGGATGAGAAGGAAAAGAAAGGCAGCTGTCACCACACGGAAGGACAACTCGGAGCCATCTTCTTCTGCCGAGCTCTTCCTATTGTTGGTGTCATTGATCACATCCTGCCCATCTTCTGGGGAGGAGTAAAAACCATCCATGGGTGGGAACCAGTCCCTTGAGAGGTTTCCAGTCCCTTGAGAGGTTTCACATTTGTTCAAGCCCCCATCAGCATCCAAAACCCCTTTTTACTCCTCCGCTGACATCTCAGACACACCACCTGCAATCCTCCCAGCTCTCACACCCAGCCAGACGACCCAGCACAAGGAAAAGTGCTTGAAGATCTCACTCCTTTCTAAATCTCCTGCTGACAGCAAGGTGTTTTTTTTTTTTTACCCCCTCTTGCCTCCCACCGCACTTTTCTTTCTTTGCAGCCTGCCGCTCACAAAGAGCCAGCACTCACCTCCGGCACTCAAGCAAGCAGGGAGGGCTTTGCTGCAAAAGCCTTCCTCCCTCTCCTCTCTCAGAAGATCTTCATCCCTTGTTGATCAGTGCCTGCTGCAGAATCCCAGTCAATCCCTTCTGCACTGCCCAGGCTGGGACTTGCTGCCAGACACGAGAGGGAATCGGGCTCTCTCAACTCTTGCAGACAAACCTTTTCTGCTCATCAAACAGGCTGCTCTGCTCTTCCCTCTGGATTTTCACGCGGGTGAGATCCTTCTCTGCCCACACCAGGTCTCCTGCTCCACAGGTTGGTCCTCTGCGAGCCAAGAAGATAGCATTGGGAGTCCGCAGCTGAGAGGGTAAGTTGCCTGGGAGTTAGGTGATAGGATCGAAGGGGTAAAATAACAAACATTCAAGTGGGATTTGAGGGTCTTCAACGCAAATCAGGATTAAAATTTAGCGTGCTTGATCTCCAAATAAAATCACCTAAATTCACTACACAGGCACCTAGTCCTCTTCCTACCCCATAAAACTCTCACTCCAGACTGAGGAGCAAACAGCTCTTCCCTGTTGCGTTAAGGGAGGAACACCGGGGGATTAGGAAGCAGGTCTGACCTACTAAGGCACAGTTTAACCTTGGACGCAAGAAAATCCCATCCATCACTTTGTAATTAAAGCCACTCTGTAATCAAAAAGGCTTCTCTGATCAAGAAGTGTCAGAAAAATATCCTTCAGTAGGCAAGTTTCCTCGAGAGCCAGCTCTTTAACAGCGGCTTAAATAGGGACCTGCTTTTGAGAAAAGCCTTGCTGGTAAACTGGCTGATGTGGGAACGAGCAGCGAAAGCTTTCCAAATCAAACGGAAAAAACCACCCAGGCAGTTCAGCATTAATTCATTCATTACACTGATAGTTGCAGCAGTGTATCACAATGACTTCTGCCTTTGCCTGTCGCATACATCACTTCTGAAGAAAGCAGCAGCCAATCTACACAGAGGCAGCTCAGCCGCACTGGGATGTAATTAACTTGACCCTGCACCCCAGCCTTCGCCCAAGCCCAGATAAAGCAGGAACTGCCCAAGAGCAACTTTCAAACAAGAGCACAATTATTCTCCTGAAGATAGAGCACTGAGAAGCTTGCTCCTAAAGTAAACAGCACACTTGCTTTGTGACAGGTTAAAGAAACTTGCTGCCAGCATGTCACAGCATTTACTTCCCAAGGCTTTGTTTAATTAAGCCTCATTAGTTCCACCGTCTGCAGCCTGGGCCTGCCAAGTGCCCATGCCAGGAGGAGCAGCTAGATGGCACCAACCACCGGCTCATGCCTCAGCACTTCCACTTGGGTCTTTTGTCAGGCCAGCTCCCAGAATTTCATCAAACGAGGGCCATCTAATTGCCCAGACACCGCAGGACCCTGGCAGAGCACCAACCCACGCGAGGATGCACACAGATGCACTGCCCTCTGTGCCCCAAAGGGCATTTTTCTCATATTCCCACTACAGGGGACAAATATTTTTGACATCGAAGTTGCAAGACGCAAATAACAGGATGCTTTCACCGCTCTTTGAGAGAGCGGCGATGGCAGGTGACCTGTCACACAGCATTAAATCACGGCAGAGGCTTGGACTGGCAGCTCATGGCACACTTAGGTCGCACATGCTAAGCCAGGAGGCATTCCAGGAAATCATTCCTCCAGATACAAGGAAGCCTTCCACCTCCTTAGCGGCTTTAAAAACATGTAAGAAAGGATCTCGCACTTACACCAAAGCAGACACTCAAAGCTGGGTTGGCAGGGCGCAGATGGGATGGGAAGGGATCCATTAAGTCCCCCAATTTCTGTGCATCTCAGAACACACCTAATGAAGAAAGGGCCGTTAACTCTGCTGTCATAAAAAAACAAAACAGTTACTCAAACAAAACACAGGTGGTTACTCATGTGCACAGATTAACTCCTGCTTGCTAGATCCCTTCTTCTCTACTGAGAAAACTGTTCTGCTGCATTGTATTACTAAACAGTTGCTCCCTTTTCTCGCCTAAGGAGCTGCTATTTTTTCTGAGAATGAAGTTAAGTACTATTTTAAACAGCACTCAAGGATGCTAAGATTCCAGTTTGGTGGCAATTCAGCTCTAGGTTTTTATATTTAATTTTCTCACCCAGCAAGAAGCTGCTCTCTATTTCCCTTCCCTGCTGTCTCACCAAAATATACTTAAAATTCTCTATGCAGCCATCTTGATTACATTCCCCACTTTGCATCAAAGGAAGAAAATTAGAAGCCACTTCAAATAAAGCAGCAGCTGCTTGGGTTTAACTCTTCAATGTCTCTTCCAGCATGGCTGTCTCAGTCAGATGCATTATAAAATTACAGGAGTGTGTTTATTCCTCTAGGAATCACTTTGCACTTCCAGAGAAGAAACAAATCCTGATAGCAGGGGAGGGGAGAAATGAGGGGCAATCAGTTCCTTCAAAAAAAAAAAAAAAAATCCAGCGATACTGGTATTATGCAAGACCTGAGCCTTCCCAGAGCTGCACTGCAGACAGTGTAAGAGAAGCACAGGAACCAGAAACTTCCTCCTCCCTGCCTGCCCCTGCAAAAAACCAGAGTGGCTCTCCAGGGATCAGCGCACCAGCTCAGATCAGAGCTCCTGCCAGAGGAGACAGGCTTGACTGCCTGCAAATTCAGAGCCTACTTCAGGCATCTTAGTATCAGAGGGAAGCAGGAATAATTTGAGTAGTTTATACAGGAGGTTACTCCACTTAGATTCATTTGTCTTTAGAGGAAAAAACAGTCCATCTTCTCAGCTGCACTGCTTCGTTGCAATCAGAACAAAATCAGACAAAAACTGACTGAGAATAAGGATTATAAATTGTTTAGTACAAAACCAAGGGGTCAATTAGGAGAACTGACCTGGCACAGCAGTTTCCTCCATGGCCACAGCCAGGTGGCTTAGGCAAAGGACCGTGTTCTGTGTGAGCTGTGAAATTGCTCTGGTTTGTTTGTGAGGTGCGCAATGAGGAAGAAGAAGCAGAAAGACAAGACAAGCTGAAGCAAAGAAAAAGCATCAAGCCTTTCCAAAGTGATAATTATAAAATTCAGGCCATACAACCCAAAAGCCTGGTGAAAACAGGCAACTTTTAAAAGTTAAACATAGTAACCGTTGGGCTTTTTTAAACACAGAGAGAAGGCTCAGGGAAATCAAAGTCTGGCACAGCAGTTATTCAGTTTGTTTTTTGACAAAGAAGCCCACGAATCTGCCCATTTCCTTTGAGCAGACAAGTTTTATAGGTGCAGAAGCACAGCTGGAACAGCACGAAGAAAGGAAAAGGAGGCACCACAGAGGACTCTGGTTCTTCCCATCCCCTTTATTACATGTCAGCAGAAAACACAGTGGTTTTTCTCCTGTTTACTTACAAAGGAAAGGAATACAGAGCTTCAAGTCATTTCACATAATTCCATGTACAACCTGGGTAAACTGCTAGATGGCTACAGCACACCTTCTCTGGCAGGAGCCTGCACTCTGGGACAAAGTGACAGAGAAGCCAGAGCCAACACAGCACCCTAGTGACACCTGTGATTTCTTCCCCCATCCTCTGGGGCTGGGTTGCCAATAATTAACAGAACACGGGAACTCCAGCCCTAGTTTACTGCTCACCCAAGCTGCCACCCACACGGCTCAAGCGACGGAGCTCGGTACAGGAGGCAGCACAGGGGTGGTGACAGGAATACATTCCGAGTCAAGGAGAGGTGCAGAGAGAGGAGGACTAGTTATACATCAACACAGAGCTAGTCACTCCCCCGCCACGCACAGGCTCCGTGTGCAGAAAGCCCAGTTCACAGCACATTTCCCTCCGCAAAGAATGAATTTACTCATGTCAGGTACCAGGCTTTCTGCTCTTCCATGTGCACACGCATAATAAAAAAGTGACCTGCAAAAGACAACGATTTCACTTCTGATGGGTAAAGACAGCCTCTAAAAAATGTTTTGGTGCTGTGCTCAGGTGTCTTTTTGCATTAGAAACATTTACAGGACTTTCTGGTAACCCATAATCTTGTGGAATTGCATGATCAAGACTGAAGGCAAAGTCAAGGCTGTTATACAAAACTGTCCTCTCAGAAAGGGAAAGTGATGCATCCTTTCTGTTCCCACCCAAATCTCTCGATATGAGAGCTGAAAGCAGATCACCCTGCAGCTCCCAAAACATTTCGCAAACAGGGAAGGCAGAAAAATAGCAAACAGCTGAAACTTCAAGTAAGAGCAAGCAAAAAATTATCTTATAGTGACTGCAAGCCTTTATCACAATTTAAAATCTTTTGCAGGTCTCCCTTTTAAGGCCTAAGTGTCTTGACAGAAAGAGGAATTATTTTTGTTTTGTGCTTGAAATTGCTGCCCCCTAGAGCAGCAGCAAAATCTCCTACAATTTAATACCGACAGTGTCTAGTTGTCCACGACCGTGCAAAATACAGACAGGGAGGGACAGAACTATCAACAGGTGTTTAAGCTTCTTGCAGATAACTTATGTCAAGGACAGTACCTATGTGCCAAGTGTTTGAAACAACCACACGAACAGCCAAATGTTGAGCAACTGCAATACTGCTGCAACTCAGATTCTCAACATCAGCCACAGCAAAAGAAAAAAAAGAAAATGAGCACTGTTATGGACATAGAAGAGTTTATCTTCACTGGGCAGAATAGTGAACTGCATTCCCAGAAGGGAAGACTGGATGTCACGGAGTGACTTGGGATAACAAGTCAAATTAAGACCAGTGCAGATGTTGGCACAGAGATGACAAACACCAGCTGGGGCCAGTTCCAGAGTGGATTGTCACGGCAGGAGATCCTGTTGCTGAGCAAAGTGATATCCATGAAGAACAGGGGAGCGTTACCCCTCTCCTCAGAAGTTCCAGTCATTAGTTAAGGAACCTTAAGACAACTTCTCAAACTGCAGCAACAGGATTCTGTTGGGTCTTTAGAGATTCAGTCCCAGAGCTGTTTTGGGTTCAGAGGAAGCAGAGGGAGTCTTTTGTGCCAAATCTATAAAGAAAATCGCAACAGAAAGACATCAGTTTTCATCAGTACGAGGGACTAGATTAACCACTAGCAAGCATTCTAGGACAGAGAAGATGCTGCACGCTTGGCAGCAACAGGCATGAAAATGCTGCTCTACTTTGTCACCGTTAACAGAATATTAAAAAACAACACTGCTTGGCTTTGTACACTTTGTCACCGTTAACAGAATATTAAAAAAAAAACTGCTTGGCTTTGTACTGGCTTTGTTAAACAACAATAAAAAATAATTAGTCCAAGCACTAGCCCCCACAAAGGGCCTTCAACTTTTCCTATAACCCATGGCAAAAAGTCCAGCAGAGAGCTAACTTCTCTCAAGACTGAATCTGGAAGTGAAAGAAAATGTCACAAGCACCTGGCAGGGATACCTGGAGAGCATGCTTTCAACCACCTAACTGAAGCAGGCAAGATTCTGGCTCAGGCTAGACATCTTCCGTTTTGCAAGGCTGTCACAGATCCTACTAGCAGCTAGCTAACACGACGTGCTGACATCTATACCTCCATCAGAAACAGAGAGCTTTTCCAATTCAGCTTCAAGCTCAGCATCAGAAATGGCTGGATTCAGCGCCTTCTGGGGAGCAGGAGGCAGATCTACAGGCTCCTTAGTCGAGTCCTGGAGGAGACTGTCCAGCTCCTTCTCAAGTTCCTCAGTGTCCATCTCTGCTGATTAAAGAAAGCACTCAGTTCCAAGCAAAATTAAGTAGCATCTCCACAGCACAGATTGAAGTCCAAGTTTAACAGAGGTATTATGACTCTCATCCATCATTATTCATAATAAGGAACTCCCTGTGCTGCTTCTAAGGGTGAAAATTCAGTCCTGATCTCAGGGAGAAACTATTCCTTTAGAAGCCTTTGCACTGGGGCATCCAAGGGCAAGAAAACATTTCAGCCATAGCAGCACACAGGCCAGAGGAAAAAGATCACCACTTTAAAAAAACAAAGCAGCAGCCACTCTAAAGATAGATTTAAATCAACATTACACAACTCCGAACTGAAATCCACCAGCACTTGGAGACTGCGAGGATTTGGAGATGCACAAATGCCAATTCCCCTGCAACTCACCGTCAGAGAAGAGAACTCCTTGTCAGTCCTCATTCCCTCTCAAGGGACCAGTAACAACAGCTTTGGGATTTCAGTAAGTGCTTATCCTCCCAGGAAGGAGGACTAGACATATGTGGGGATGGAGCAGGGAAGGGGTGGAAGCACAAAGGGCAGTGGTAAGAGAAGATGAGCAAAGGATGAAAACCCCAAAACGTACCTAGACCATTGATCCCCACTCCAGCCAGAGTCTGGGCTACTTCATCTTGAGTATCACAAAGCTGAGGAAAAATACACAATGTTTGATAAAGATTATCAGCTAGTCATGTGTCTTACTGTAGCCACATACATCAAAAATAGAAATAACAAAAAAAAAATTCCAAAGTTGACTTAAAGGCAGCAAGTACTAGTGCAAAAGAGACCTCCAACATGACTGGTTTTTCAGGAGCAAAAGCAGTAACATGGAGTATTATTAAATAAGTGCTACAAGACCAAGCAGCATGTTTGAAGATCAAACCTGGAACAGAATTTCAGACATAACAGAAAAACCTCCTAATTTTTAGCTTTTTCACATAAGTAATGAGCCTATATTGTGGCTTAGACTGACAAAATAAGGAAGCCGAAGACCAACATATCTCAGCTATGAAATTTTACAGACAGTCCCTCAGCTCAGTAGTTGAAGCCACCATTTAAGTACATGGAGCTAAAGCTGCTAAGAAAGTAATCCTTTCCCCCCCTCCCTTTTTTTTTTTTTACACCAGCTTATGCAGACAGATTGCTCTCTTCATTTCAATTCATTCAGAATAAACTCTCCTCCTTTCCCTTACTGAACTGCAGAAGATTATGGATTAGGCAGTTTTAAGACCCTGTTTTTATGCAAGTAGTTGCATTCCAGCTTCCAAATGTATGACTTGTATTTCTTTTTAATGCATCTCACTAAAAATTTTCTAAGAAAGCTGTGTGCTTGCACAATATTGCTAACCAAAAGAACATGTGAAATACACGAGTTCAATGTAAGCTGTGATTACCAGCCAGCAATAAATGCAAATACATAAAACCAAACACAGCCAGTTATCTGAAGACCTCTGCGTGCTGATCTGAAAAGATCAAGATCAGTTTGCTCTGGTGACATATGGAATAGAAACCGAACAGGGCCAGAAGCCTCAGCATTAATAGCTGGGCAAGCTTGCTGTGCACATCTCCACACTACTTGCTTCTTTATTTACATGTGCTATTATTTCAGTACCTCTTGTATCTGATCCACGAGGTTCTCCGCTTTCTCCACAGTAACATCCTTCATAGACAGTTTCAGAGCTCCCATACCAGCCTGATATGCATTAAATACCTTAAAAAAAAAAAGGAGAAAGATGCACAATGCTAACTAAAAATAAACAGGCAGTGTAAGCTTCTCTCAAGACCCGTTAACCAAACAGGATCCTCAGAGAAATACTAGCATACAAGAAGAAAACTGAGCCACAAGCAGGTTTATTCAGAACAATACCCCAGCATCAGACTTGCTGTTTCCTAGAGCAAGGAATGAAGTCTCACCAGGCAGCTTACACCCCTCAGACACGAGCTCTGACAAGCAGGTAAAGCAGCACAAATGAGAAGAGCGGGGCTAAAGTGAGAAGCATAAGACAAAATTAACACGCTACCATCTGGTCAGTCTGAGAGGCGTATATACGATCCAAGATCCCCTGCACTGCATCCAGCTTAGAATGGAGCTCTTCAATGCGCCTTTCTGTCCTTCGTTTGGACTTCAAACATCTCAGCGCCTGGAGACGTGAGATACAGAGATGTGGATCACAAACCAGGCAGCACCCAATGGAAGTGTAAAAAAAAAAAAAATAGCAACCCCTGTGCAGCAAGGCACACACACACCAGCAGGTTTTAAGAGCTAGATATTTCCCATTTCTCTTCACCACATCACTCTGGACAAGTATATTCTTATCTTCACCTTAAGGAGACCTTTGGCCTCAGAAATACCATTTCAACACATCTAAGATTAAGCATACAATGTCTAACCCTGCTCATTATCTGCAGTTATGGAACAGCTCCAAGACACTTAATTTGTAGTTCCTCCCAAGTAGAACAGTACTTACCAATTGCTTCTTCCCAGCTCTACAAGCACTCCGGGCATCCTCTTTACATCTGTACAGATGCAACAAGAAAAAGAAGTTTATTCCTTTGCGAGTAGTAGTTATTTTAAAATCAGTAACCATCCTCACTAAACTCTCTGATCCAGAGGTGACCAAGTAACAATGCATTTTGGATGCAACCACCCTTAAACCATTGTTGTATCTCAGGAATAGTCCTTAGATGCATTCCAAATTTTTGCAAAAACTTCTGAAATCCTCTTGCTGTTCCCCATCCCCATGAAAACAACATGCAAAGACTGGAAAATTTGCCCTACCACATGACTGTGGCTACTATGTTTACTGAACAGGAAAGAATGACTTTCATCTTCAGAAAGCAGCTTTGTTCTACGTCACAGGAATACACAGTTCTACAGCCAACAGATGTTCTTCCCACCACCCTTCCCCAAATTACTTCTCTGCTTCCTGGGAAAGGGACTCCACCTTCTGTGACAGCAGCTGTTCGCTTTGCATCAACTGATACACCCCAATGTCCACGTCATTCATTGGGGAGACTTTGGCGTGGAGACCTCGAGCAAACTTCACTATCTAAAAAAGAGAACGGCACGCTTGAGTCACTTGTCTCCAGAATCTGTGCCTGTGCTAGAAATACCTTCACTCTGATGGAAGGGAAAGATGCTTTTACACCCCTAGTAATAGAGTGGTCTCCAGAATCTGTGCCTGTGCTAGAAATACTTTCACTCTGATGGAAGGAAACGATGCTTTTACACCCCTAGTTTAAGCCTCGTAATAGAGTGGCGAGGACATGCCAGTCACCGTATCATCTAATATGAAACCAGACAGCATCAAGTGACACCGGTGCGAAAACAGAAAGCCTTAATGGAACAACCTGAAGATGTAAAGCTGTCCTGCTGCTCTGAACAGCGTGTGGCAGTGTCACACTTCTAAGGACTTCAGTACTGAACCGTACAATGCAGAACGCTACAGGCAAACATGCCACCTTGGAGATGAGAGCGCCTGCATCTCTGCGGTTACTGAGAGACAGGAAAACCTTTCACAGAAAGTGGAGCACTGATTCTAGTGGCACGGAGCAGTTTCAATTCAGGCAGCTAGGAACATCTGGGCAAGAATAACTCCAGGTACCAGTACAAGTTGGGTGCTGAGCTGTTGGAGAGTAGTGTAGGGGAGAGGGACCTGGGGGTCCTGGTGGACAGCAGGATGACCATGCGCCAGCACTGTGCCCTCGTGGCCAGGCAGGCCAATGGCATCCTGGGGTGTATCAGAAGGGGGGGTGGTCAGTAGGTCAAGAGAGGTTCTCCTCTCCCTCTACTCTGCCCTGGTGAGACCTCATCTGGAATATTGTGTCCAGTTTTGGGCCCCTCAGTTCAAGAGGGACAGGGAACTGCTGGAGAGAGTCCAGTGCAGAGCCACAAAGATGATGAAGGGAATGGAGCATCTCCCTTATGAGGAAAGGCTGAGGGAGCTGGGTCTCTTTAGCCTGGAAAAGAGAAGACTGAGGGGTGACCTAATTAATGTTTATAAATACGTGAAGGGTGAGTGTCAGGAGGATGGAGCCAGGCTCTTCTCTGTGACATCTAGTGATAGGACAAGGGGCAATGGGTTCAAGCTGGAACATAGGAGGTTCCGCTTGAGTATGAGGAAAAACTTCTTTACAGTGAGGGTGACAGAGCACTGGAACAGGCTGCCCAGAGAGGTTGTGGAGTCTCCTTCTCTGGAGACATTCAAAGCCCGCCTGGATGCGTTCTTGTGTGATCTGATCTAGGTGTCCTGCTCCGGCAGGGGGATTGGACTAGATGATCTTTCGAGGTCCCTTCCAATCTCTAACATTGATTCTGTGATTCTGTGAACAGTCAATCTTGAGTAGACAACTACAACATCTCTCAATTTTCCAACTGTTAAATTACATAGGTAATATTACAAATGTTTGACAGAGAAAAATAAGAACCTGTCATGCAAGAATGAGGATTTAATTTCATCTATAACCAGGTTATGACATTAGAGTACATAGAATCCACTTTTCCCATCAAAGGATGCCCATATTTAGCCAATACAGTATTCTTTCCAGCCAGATGAAATGCAAGACAGGGATTATACCACCCAAAAGCAGTCACCTTTACCCTGTACCTTCTCTCCATTCTGTTCCAGGATCGTGACCCTTTTTTCCTTTTGCAGCTGGAGCAGCAACAAGTAGAACGTCCTCTCATCTGGACAAATACTGGCACAGAGGGAACGCAGCTCTGAGAGGGCAACAACAGGGTGAGAAGAAAGCGCAGAGTTCTGATACAGCCGATAAACTTCCTCTGCTTTCTCCTGAAAGGAAGCAACAGAGCCATCTCTGAGTTTACACGGGACTCTCACTTCTTTCACAACAACTGCCAAACCCACACCTGCTTCATCCCACGCACCGAGGGTAAAAAGTCAGACACATCACCTTTTGGGCGAGACAGACTTTCAGAATGAGCTGTACATAACATCTAAGAGCAATTACAATGCTTTAAAAATATCACATTAATCAAATGAAAAATAGCAGTTTTCCATGAGAACCAAAACTACACTACTCACATTCCCTGTGCAGACGCTAACGGAACAACACAAGAACAACACAGGCAGCAAGTTGTCCTCCTCTTCAGTTCTTGAAGTCCGCCCCTCACCTTAAGTTTAAATCCCATAAAACCTTTTATTTAATCCACACTGTAACTGTGCTCATCATTTTTCTGCAGGCAGAGGAAAAAGAAAAAATTTTTCCCCCTTTCAAGCAAGAGTCATGGTCTGCTTCAGACCACAGAAGCAACTCTCTCCATGCACCCCCGGATCCCACATCAAGGTTTGCGGTTTTCCAGGGACCTTTTTAAAGGGTTTCTCTTCTCTCCCATGACAGAGTCCCTCTGAAAGGACTGTGGAATACCCACTGCAGAGGGAATATGCCATCTGATATCAGAGTAACTACAAATAAAGGAATGCATCTAAAGAGCTCTTGCATTCCTGCCAGTCCCAGTCATTTAGACACCGCTTGTGTGCAACAGCAGCAAGTCTCGGTGCTGATTTTAACAGCCACCGAGTAACACAGAGAGGAACCCAAGGTCTCAGCTGTCAGCGCTGCACCATCCAAGCCTGAGCAGCTATGAGTTATGTGAATTCACAAGGCAACCCCCAGGTCTGTCACTAACAATGTGCCAAAGAAAAGGGTCTTGGGCACGACCCCAGGGCAGCTCTCATCACGTCTGAAAAGGCAAGCTGAAAGGACACGCTCTGAAGAGAAAGCAGCCTTGAACAATGCACCTGCAAGTTCGGCTCGACGATACGCTGGACTGACAGCCAGCGACCTCTGCGTCACCCGTTTCTCCCTACAACAGATGGCACTCGATCCGCAAGCTTCTCTCCTGTCCTACAACTGCACGAACTCAATCCTGAGGTTTACAGCGGTCTCACAGCACGCTACTTGGCTTCCCAGACAAGCAAGCCAGCCTGCCCCTCCCATTTCTTGGAAGTCAGTGAGGAGTCATTACATTAGTTTCAAGGAACATCTGCAGATATAAACTATTTCTTACTCCTGAGTTATTCTGTTCATCTCTCTACAGGCTTTTAAACACCTAAGGAGCACAAATGAAGGCCTTTTCAACCCTGATCCTTCCCTGCTAGCACCTGAAGTGACTCACAATTTTTCTGGAGATGCTTAACCTTGAGAAAGCTCTCAACACCACTCACCTGAAGCAGCTCCACATAAATCAGAACTTCCTCTTCCTCAGGTATTTTACTGTCACCCAGCACACTGGAGAGAGTCCACTTCAGGGGCTTCAGAATGAAGACTCCCACGCCCCAGGAGATCCAGCTGCTGTCTACGCTGGCCATGAAGTCTGACTCCCTCTGCAGCTTGCCACGTCTAAGAGAAAAGACATGCATCAGAAAGTCAGTCTTAAACCCGTCCACCAGCAGCGACCAAGAGTGCCAGCATGGAAAATTATTAATCGAAACATTGCTCCACACTTTGTACAGCCACAGTCCTGGTGTTGTTTTCTAACACCAGTTTCCAGCTGAAGTTTGACATGTTACTCCTGCCTCTGAAAGTACACAGAGGAACTCCTCCTGGGGTTCCTCTGGACACAAGGGTCTTTTGTTTGCTATTTTTTCCAGCTTCACAAGTCTCTCCAGGTTTTCTGACTTGAAACTGGTGATGCATCAAACAAGGAAATCCACAGGGAGGGTCAGTTTTTAGAGGGGAAAGTTGCACATTTCAGGACACTTCATTTCCACATTAAATTGCAAACATAGCTTTCCTCAGACCTAGAAATTTTATTTTTTTATGTTATGGACACAGACTCAGCTAGCTCCTGCTGGTTTTGAATCTTTTCAGGGTATCAGCCCCAGCCTCTAGTTTCACAACACAAAACAGCTGGTTGCAAATACCAGCACAGCACACCCCCAGGTGCCTGTACACCATCACATACCATTTGCAGTTGGGTGATCACAACAACGGTTTCAGGAAACACAATTTAACACAAAGCTCCCCCTGCACCTACAAGCTCTCCCAGCAGAGTATTCATTCTCTTGGGATCCTCTGCACTCCCCATGGTACACTGCCCTCCCAACACCTCCTGTGAGCCCCAGGGTGACCTCTTCTGACTCCCTGTCCCTGCTTGACCTTCCACAAGACTCCCCAATTCCCCCTGCACAACACAACCCTTCATTCCCTTGGGCCTCTCTGTGCTCTCCTCTCCTTTGCAAGCCCTCGCACAGCAACAAAACCCCCTCACGCTCTCCCACACTCCCGCCACAACCACCCTCCAAGAATAGCCCCAAGCCTTCCCTTGAGTCCCCCTCCATTTATCCAGCACCCTGCACTGCTCTCCCTGCCACACACAAAGCAGGCATACAACCACAGAACGGTTTGGTGTGGAAAGGACCTCAAAATTTAGTTCCGCCCCCCTGCCATGGGCACGGACACCTCACCAGGTTGCCCAAAGCCTCATCCAGCCTGGCCTTGAACCCCTCCAGGGATGGGGCATCCACAGCTTCTCTGGGCAGCCTGGGCCACTGCCTCACCACCAGCACAGGGAAGAATTTCTTCCTCATATCTCATCTAAATGTCCCTTCTTTCAGCTTCAAACAGCTCCCCTCATCCTGTCACACCAGCATCTTCCAGCCTGGCACGACACGGAGCTCTTCTTGCCCATATCCATGGCGCAAAGCTCCCTGACAACCCCTCCTTCTGCAACCAGCCCTCCCCAGGCCTCTCCTCCCTGAGCCCTCCCCTCACAGCCACCCCCCTG